ACACACTTGAGAAGGTTGCTCCGTGGAGCGCGATTTCAGGCTGCTTCGCGGTGTGCATTAGCCCTTTAGAGTTACTGCAGACTAGACCTTGACTGAAAAGAAAGTGCTGGGTCGGTCGAACAGAATTGTTGAAACATCGAATGAATGAATGAGTTAAAAATTATGCAGGTACAAGTGGTTGATCAGACCACTCATCCACCGAAATGCCACAGCTTCGTTGGACTGGATAGGCAAATCGGCTCCAGTCCCCCTGCTACTGTACAAGGTTTGAAAAGTCATAGGAATAGAAATAGCTAGAGTAGTGTCCTTGGAAACAGGAGTGGACACACACACAGATATATATATATATATGTATATATATATATTGTATATTATATATATTGTATATTATATATATTAGCAGAGAGATACATTTTTTTAATCTCTATTGGCTTCAAGTGAGAAGCCGGCTGAACTTTCTTTGAGTGCCAGTTGACAGCTTGCTGGATGCCGCAGCCGGGAGTGGAGAAGATGAGCGCCTTCTCATGCCTCCTCCGCAGCTTGGCCTGGGAAGGGTAGCTGGTAGCTATTACTGGCTTACTACTGATCGTGTGAATCTAATGAAGGTGAAAAAGAACAAACAATATATTTAGCCCTGCTTACACTAGCTAGTAGCGGTGCCATTCCTAGTAGCTTCTTGTTACTAATATAAATGCCAGGAGCTACTAGTAGCGTCCTCGCTACTAGTAGCGATGCCCTTGCTACTAGTAGCCCTTTGCAGAATTATATTTAGCCCGGGGCCCTGCCTTCCTTACTTAAGCAGGCGCCCACTTCATTAAGGGAGTAATTGGCTAGCTAGGACGCAGGATCACTGGCACTAATGATTTGGTTTCTATGGTCCATGTGTCCTTTGCAAGTCCGTATTCCAGTCTGATCCACACTTGCTGGCATGTTTGGTCCAATAGATGTGACAACAATGGCTTCAGATGTCGCTTCCAGGTAAGCAGGTTGCATTCCTACTCAGCTTCGGAGATGTAACAGGTTGTCGGCGTTCTAGCTGATCCGGTCCATGCCATTTGACGTTGGTGTTATGAGTTCTATTTCAATTTCATTTCGTGTATGCTTCTTAGTCACCTCTGTGGAGCGATCTCTTGTGTGTTTGGTATTGCTCGGCTAGGACCATGCTAGGACAAATCTCAACGCTCAGGTCCATCGTGCCAGACAAGAAGAAAGGCGAGCATGGGGGAACTTAAGTTTCCCTAAAAATCTAGCAACCAAATGAATAGTGTGAGCTATCCTGCATCCTAGGTAGTAGCCTTAAGCTACTAGCTACCTAGCTTCTAGTAGCTACCTATATAGCTAGTACCTCTTCTCGGCCTAATTGCCCCGGGCCTTTTAAGAACACATTCAAAGACAATCATCAATTCAGAGCGGTGCCAGGCGGTGAAACTGCCGGCCTGGGTGGCCTTGGTGGAGGACTCTTCAGCGTTCCTGAGCAAGACTAAGGAACAGGCATTTAACGGAACAATTCTTTTACAAAAAGGAACCGAACGAATCAAGGACAAAGGAACGGTCTAAAAGTGTTTCCCATAGTTACCAAAAAAAAGGAATCAAAGCAACGCGAAGGAAATTTCAAGGGCGTTGCGTCCTTGTCCAGTTCACATGTTTGCTTCTTTGAGTCAACAACTGAGGGAAGTGGTGGTGCTGCAAGCCTCTTTGGCACATCCTCTCTGTTTCGTGGCAGATCTAGTGACTAGTGAAAGCCAACTCGAGCTTGCGACATATTATATAATGGCAGGGAATGGCAGCCTGTAAACTTAGTTGCGCCCTTTAGAAACTTCTATACGAAGCAAAAGACTGGTCCTCAGGCTTGCGTTTCAACCTTCCCCGTAGTCCTTTATGTCAAAGTAACCCTTGAATTGCGAGACAGATGCTCCACTTGTTGTTGCTGCATTGCCCGCTTTCCTCTGAAGATTGAGATGTGTCTTTACCAACCAGCGGCTGCATGTTTGTTTACTTTATCTCAGAAATGCACCGATTCGTCATTGAGTCATTGAGGTTTGGCTCTTCCCCCTCTCTGTCATTTGACGCTGCAGGCAGCAAAGGCCTGGTTTAGCTTGCAATTTTCCCGGCACCACTGCTTTTCACTTTTGCCGCCAAAGTGTACAGATGCCACAGGAACTGAAACAACTGCATCCAGCTGCTTGGCCGAATCTTTGCCAGGACAGAATCCACCAGATCCTCAGTTTCAGAATGAACTCATCCGCCACTTAAGGTTCAACCAGCGCCCCTTTGGCCTCAGCACCCACAGATGTGAGAGAGGCTTCACCAGACAACTTGCCATGCCCTCCCTTCGGATTCCATGGATTGCCAGGCGTACAGAGAACGCATTGTCAAGATCTACGAGCAGCACAATCCCAGCAAAGTGACACTTATCGACAGACATGGTCCAACTTTAGAGGGATTTATTTCAGCACTCAGCCTCCAGTGTGTCTCCAAATGTGCAACATAATGTGTTCATCATTCCGGTGGCAATCCACTTTGAGGGCAAGAAAAACCTCACCTTTGCTAGGAATGAGATTGACGCTCTCATGGGCAAATACGTTGGTCAGGAGCACACTATGTACTTGAAAGTATGCAACGTGGCTGGCAATTGGAGGAAAATTCATTGCGGGCGCGAAACTGTACTTTGTTTTTTACCATCTGTGAGGCAAAAAGTACAACGTCGAACCAGAACCTGAAATCAAAGCAGAATCATCTGCGGTCGCATCCAACGCTCCTGGTGCTGAAGCAAGCAGTGGAGGTGGGCTAATGCCTTGGCGGCTGCATTGAAACTCTTGCATTCAGTCCTTGCAGGTCAGTTTGGCCTTGGATCGTCACTTTTTGGTGCCACATCAGGCTGGTAACTATGAGGGTAGAGACTAGAGTGACCAGAGTGACTAGAGCTTGCTGATGATCTCAGGCGGTGATCTTTTTGCTTCTAGCACTGGGACCAGCGGCAGCAGCAGCAGTAGCAGCAGTGCATCACAGGGTTTGTTCGCTGCAAGCAGTGGAGGCGGAGGCAGCAGGGTGATTCATCCTTTACCTTTGTACTGAAGCTGCACTTCAAGTGAAGTGAGCAAGTGAGTTTTCTGAGTAGGTTTGTTTGGCGCGGCACCGGCATCAGCGCCTGCAGTGACGGATGTAAAGCAAGTGACACCCCGAGTCAGCTGTACGGTGTCAGAGTCCTTACAGCGACAAACTCCCACCAACTCGCCAGAAGCAGTCTTCCTGACCTGCCTTGAGGCTTACAAAGATCGCATGATAAAGATCTACCAGCAGCACAACCCTGGCAA